AAACGGGCAATTATACGAGTACGAGGCGACTTATACGAGTGTTTTTCCGAACACTGACCTATTTATTTATTTTAGAATTTATTTCAATCTGATAAAACACTCTTCATTTTCATACATCAAATTAGGCTCGACTTAAAATAATTTATTTTACTATTTTTCAATTTAAGGATACTTTAGAATAAATGATATGGTAGATTTCAGTATTATGTCACAACTTTTTTATGCAAATTTCAGATTATTAATTGCTAAAGGATTTTTTTTGTATGGCCTAAGCGGACAATAGTATTTGTAAACAGGAAGAATTTCCGCCGAATACAGTAAAATTTAAAAACAATCTTTAATATTTGCGGTCAATTTTATGTCTAATAAAAATATAATGTTAATGTACAACAAATATCTATTAACACCTTGATTTTCTGACTTAATTACGAATTGGTTACATAACTTAGGATGACCGATCATTTTTTTTATTGTTTCATTTCATTATCGATGTTGATGTGCTTTGTTTACTCGAAAATGTTTTCAGCTTGTTATAATTTAATGCTTCGCTGAATGGTTTCTGATTAATCAAGAATAATTGTTTTTTAATTGACAACGTAATGGTTTCATGTTTTAATATGGCTTTAAAACCAATATACGTATTTAAGTATAATATATGTGCGTTATCCTGAAATTCTTTCGTGGCTTCATAAATGCTGGATGCTCCGAGTTTGTCGTTAATAATGAAACACCACAGTTATCAACCAAATTTATTTGTGGGTTTCGAGCACGCAACTACTATTGAACGTGGAATTATTTAGGAAGGGCTGAAATAAGTTTATTGCTTTGCACATTTTTTGAACAATTAAACTTGGTAAAAACATTACATCATATTATCGATTGTTATTCAAATTACGGTCAAAATAAGCCGCTATCATGATATTTTAGTAAATAAATATGTAAAAATCTGCATATTTCTGTAAACCAATTTAAACATGTAGTTTTTAACCTTCACAATTTTTCTTTTTTGACTATGAGATAAGAAAACGTAGTAGTAACTGAAACATAATTGAGATAGGCACTTAAAGCACTAATTATTTTCAATAAATAAATAATTGTATGATTACATAGTATCGATCACATAAAATGTTTAAAACAATTATGCAGTATCCCAGGGTTGCGTTTAGCAATCCATAATAAACAAGTTGAATAGTATTTTCTATCTATATCTATATCTATATCTGAAAATTCTATTAACTATATTAATCAGCAAATAGCTGGAATAAATACATATAACGTTTAACATATAATAAATTAGCAATTTGTTTTTTCTCGTTGATAAAGCCAACATATAGGTATAAATTTGCAAATAGGATTTTTTATTTTACTAAGGCGGCAAATAGATTTTGTTTAGCTTCACAACCATAAGCTGCCTACATCTTCAGTGGTCATTTTTCGAAAGCGGCAATGTAGGTATTTCCTAAGCCCAAGCCCCCTTCCCCCCCTACTTATGTATGAATGTATGGCCATTCGTTGTTATTTTTGGCTTGCTCCTCTTGATTTAAATTTGGGATAACGTGCTCTGAAATAAAATACTGATGGATATGAGCCGACCCTGATTTTTTTCGATTTAAACAGCAATTACACCACATTGCTGTTATGTCGATATTCTAAAGTGATTGTTGTGAAGTTAAATAGAGTTATTATTAGCATTCCGATAACATTTTCGTGTCAAATAAGAATATAAAAAATGATAAGTTGTTAGAAGGATTGACAATTGCTCATTGCATTGCGCAAAATTATTTCGGATATTTTTCAACGGAAACGGGAGTTAAATTTAATTCAAGAAAAGTATAACAAAAAGTTTGAAGTTTGCAAAGCCCAGCAATACGAAATTTACGGTTTACGAAAAGTTTGGTGATTATTGCAAATGTAAAAGCTGAGGACACAAGCCAATACATGTAAGTAGAATACGCAATCAACGTGCATTTAAGGGATAATTAGTATTTCTAACATTTTACTCTTTATAGATGGCTACTGTGTTAATATTGAGTACCATTTTACTGGTATTAATATCTACCCTATTACATAAATATTTTACTAGAAATTTTAACTACTGGAAATCAAAGAATGTATTTTACATTAAACCTATACCACTGCTCGGAAATATGCTGCCCGCCTTGATAATGAAGACAACGCTAGGAGAATGGTTGGGTGACTTAAGCCATAAAATCAAAAAGGACTACTTTGGAATTTTCGTATTCGATCGACCAGTTTTGGTGGTTCAATCCCCAAAGCTAGTAAAATTGATCCTACAAAAAGACTTTGAATACTTTCAAAATAGATCAGTGGCCCATTACGAACACGATCCGATTTTGTCCAATTTTATGTTCATGGCTAAAAATCCACGGTGGAAAGCTGTACGATCAAAACTCAGTCCAGTTTTTTCTACTGGAAAATTAAAACAAATGTTTCCACATATCTTAAACGAAGCTAACCTTATGGTGGATTACGTCAGGAATTTAGCTAACGTGCCTAATGTTGAATCCAAGGAAATATGTGCGAAATTTTCGACTAATGTTATAGCAAGGTGTGCATTCGCAATAGACGCTCGATGCTTCAACACAGAAAATGCCGAATTCAGGTCAGTGATTAAGTTTATTAAAATTAAAATAAGTTCAGGGAGATAGTCTCATTGTCAAAAACAATTATTACTTGGTAGTCAGAAGATTCAAATTTATTTTGCTATTGGATCGCGATATGGGGTGTCCCATAAACACATGATCAAAAAGGGTACTGAGACATTCTTTGGCTCAAACAAAGACGATCTGACCTAAGTTTTTTTTAAAGAAAATGTCTGGCTCTTCTACTTTTGGTGGCCTAAGTTCTTCAAAAAATTATGTTTTTGAAATATCGGAAGCATCATACGACGGCTTTTAATAAAACTCGTTCTAAATTTATTATCTATTATCAGATATCGAGTCCGATCGCTTTGGGTAAGTAGTGAATTCTTAAGTGTGTTGGTACAATTTTTATGCTCTTCGTAAAATCTTGGAACATTCACAGTTTTTGTTCAATTTTTTGTATTAATAAAACTTAAATACGGTTTTTTGTAATATCGAAAGAGAAACCAATTTTAATAAAACTTGCTGTGGATTTTTTCCTACGTGAAGGCCTTATTTTGATGAAGGCTTCGCGATCAGCCAAAATGCTTCTTTCCGTTGCATTTCTAAGTAACGCAACTCGTGAGTTAATTATTTTAAAATACTTGGACAATTCATGGCGAGTTTCATTAAAAAGGGCCTTGAAGGCCTACTCGCCGGACCCATTGGGTCCCTACACACTACTACTAAATACTACTACTTCATTAAAATCCATTGTGCCATTCTCGCGCTATTTCAAAAAACGTAATAGCTTTTTTCGCGGTAACGACTCAGAACTGGAGAGCCAGATCGCATGCACATAGAGACATTGGGGGTTTGCGGTAAAAAAATGACTCGTTCTGAACCGAAAGTTTTATGTTCGCGGTACAGTAAGAACTGGTTCAGAAACCGTTCGTTACCGGTTCTATCAGTTCTAGGATTAAAGGAAGAACCAGTGGTTGTAACAAGCACAGAACAAACAAAACAAAGGATTCGCATCGGCATCGGGATTTTTATGCTCGGGCTCCCGGCATCATATTTTTTTTGATTTGTCAGGAGAGACTGGACACTTTTGTTTGCGGGCTACTTTCGGTCGGCTGGTGGTACAATGGGTGAACCAACATTACATTCTTTTTCCTAGTTCAAATGTATGGCTTTAGTTGTCTATTCAGGAATTTTCAAGCTTATTTTTACAATGGCGTTCTGATCAAAATTAGTTAAATAAATGCAATATAAACATAAACAAACTTAATCGTTCTATATTATTCGAATTAATCAAAAAGTGCCACTTTTCGCCACACATCATAAGGAAACACATCAAACCGTTTTTCCAACTTCTCACAAAATTCACCCGCGGCCTGACAAAGTCAAAACGCCCTCGTCTTAAAAGAAAATTCAAACTAAACTAGCTCCTAAAACTGCCTACTGTTTTTTTTCTGTCAAGCATTGAATTTACTTCGATCGTTTGATTCTCACGATTTGATAAGTGATTTTGCCAGAGAAAAATCAAGAACATTTTTCTTTTATTGAATAATAATTTGTAAATCACTATTAAGCTTAATAATTATTAAGTTTCCTTGTGTTGATTTCTGCCACAAAAATATCACGTTAATGTGCAACAACTACATATTTATTAACAACTTGATCTTCTGACTTAATTACCAATTGGTTACATAACCCATAAGATGACGGATAATTTTTTTATTCCTAATTTCATTAACGATGTTGATGTGCTTTGTTTATTCCAAAATCTTTTCAGCTTGTTTTAATTTGATGCTTCGCTGAATGGTTTCTGATTAATCAAGAATAATTGTTTTTTAATTCACAACTTAATGGTTTTATGTTTAAATATGGCTTCAATACCAATATCCGTATTTATGTATAATATATGTGCATTATCCTGAAAAAAAGAGAGTATGAAATCAGCAGGGGCAGGAATCTAGATCCACTTTAAACACCAGGAAGTGTCAATAAATTGGGTGCAATGCTATCACAAATATAGCTAATTGAATGAAAAACGTTTTCCAGCTCTTCTCTGAAGAATATGTCAATAAAAAATTTATTTACTTAAAATGTTTTATAGTAGTGGCAGTGTTTGATGAATTTATTGTTTTCTGCTGTAGGTATCTTGGGAGGCAATTGTTTGATTTTCGGTAAGTTGAATTTTGTATTGTCTAAATTTGTAGCAATTCCAACTTTTCCTAAGGTACTCTACGGCTTTTCGATTGTTTACCGGTTTACTAGCCCCGAAGCTAGCTAATGCACTTGACATGTCACTTTTTGATCCTCGCGTGCTTAACAGATTAAGCAGTATATTTGGAGAAATTCTATCAAGTAGAATCTCTACTCCCGAGCTGAAAGGGAAGGATTTGATTGATATATTTATCGAAGAGAGTAAAAGCAATAATGTCCATTTTGGTAAGTGCATTGAATTAAAAATGCATAATATAAAACATCTACACACAAAGAAAGCGTTGAAATAATCAAACTTCCTAACGTCAATTGGTTGTAGCAATTATGGTAAAACTTAAATCGGAAAGTTTTGCATAGAGTAAAATTAACTTATTATCTATGGTTAACTTGAAATTTACTAACTGCAACAGCATGCTTAACTGCTGCGTTAACTGCAACTTATTAGCTGTAAACTACGTGGATAAAGATTGTACTTGAAATATGTATTACAGTGTCCTGATTATGTATTACAGTATCCTGATGTAGTGGCGTACTAAATTTACATGTTTTCAGATCAAAATGTAATGATGGCGCAAGCCTTACAGTTCTTTGCTGCAGGATTTGAAACAGTCAGTGGAACTTTGAGTTTTACACTGTATGAACTTTGCGTCAACCTACAGTTACAGGATCGCCTTAGAACTGAAATATTTGATAATCTTGAGAAGCATGATGGAATTACCTGCGAGGGTGTGTCTGAAATGAAATTTTTAGATATGTGCATTGCAGGTGAGAAAAATTTTTGATATTTATATACACATATTTATTAAATAAAACACGCACACGTTTATAACAAACGGATGTCTATCGAGTATCTCTAAAGACACAATGAGTAATAGATGGTTTAATACAATTCTTCGTTAAACTCCTGAATTAAAGGAAGACGTTACAAGTTTGATTGAGGTCTCAATTATTTGGGTATTCTGCTTGGGTAGGTGTATATGAACTAACTGTGTGCTATCATAAATCAATTTCACCCGACTTGACTTATAATCCGATGCGATGACTCTGTTGAGAAACCCAACGATTTAAAAATTTGTAATCTTTATATAGCTTTTTATAATGCCAATTGGAGTACTTGCGTTATACAAAATAGTTGATAGTATTAACTGCACTTTTATCAAAAGAGTTCCTAATATACACAAGTAAGTAGATAAAATTTCCTGTAATCAATAATAATGTTAAGGCTCAGGGTTTAAGTTCAAAACTGTGGACTTAACTAAGTGTTTTATGTAACACAAATTTGTTGAAAAATTGCGAGTTAGATATCCATTAAAAATTGTTTTTGATTCCAGAAACTCTGAGAAAATATCCAGTACTTCCATTTCTGGATAGAACTTGCTTGCGTGATTATAAAGTAGAAAATTCAGATCTCGTCATCGAGAAAGATTTGGATGTTTACATTCCAATGTTTGCATTACATTTCAATCCTGAGTTTTTCCCCCAACCTGAGAAATACGACCCACAGAGATTTGCGGACAAATCCAAAATCAATAACGAAGGACTGTATTATGTTCCTTTTGGTGATGGGCCTAGAATATGTATTGGTAAGTGAAATCTTACTAATATATGTATATCATTTAAGGCTTTCTGAAGATCTTTAGATTAAACTAATTAGAATGATTCTCACAGGCAATAGGTTTGGGTTGTTGGCTGTAAAAATTGGTTTGGTAAGTTTATTATCTAAATATAAGCTGGAAGCAACATCTCAAACTCCAAGGCCAATAAAATTCGAACCGAAAGCTCTGATTTTACAATCTAATGTGGGCGTACCTTTGACATTTGTACCAATTTGATGTATTATAAAATTAGTAACATTTGAAGGTTAAAATATATTGGCTATTTGTACCCTTCAAAAAGATCCTTAATGTCTGGAGTAATGCATTAAATAAAGAGGAACCCATATGTCGGAGACATTAGAATATAATTTAAACCTTATCAATTAAATTCCAAGTCACTTTTAAAATCTCGGCAAAGTAGTTGACCGAAGGGCAATTTCTTTGGGTTGCACTAGTCTATAAATAGATACTACCTAAGATTGGCTAACAATAAGCCAGGAATCCCTAACTCCACCAAAAAGGGTCGCTTTGGGTCCTTTTCGAATGAACAAGAAGTCGCATACATAGATAAAGACGAGTCGCATACAAGACCACAGATACAAGACGTTGCATGAGCAATTTCTCTGCAACGGGCGAAGTTTACTATCATTTTAAAACACTAGACAATTCGTTTAGCCATCAATTAGCCAGCAATAAAGGTCTACTAACGTATAATTGTGGTCAGTGTAACATTGTGTAACCGACTACCTAAGTTCAAGTGCCAACCAGTGCAGTGAAACCACCAACCTTGGTAACCTTGGTAGCATTGCTGGGGGTGTGTGAGCTGCAGTGAATAGTGGGTATTCCCAGGTGAGTGCATCCTGGTATAGCGAAAAGGTGCAACGGGGTACAAAGGCCAAGTGTTTCTCTACCCTTCACAACAAGTGGCGCCAGCCAACCACTGATTGAACGTTGAATGCACCAACCAATCGTTAATCAAAGTTGTATCCCCACGGGGTGCTTTGGCATAGAGCAAACTAAATTGCAATTTTTATTTAAGAGTTTAGGTTAGACATTGTTTCTATCATTATTAAGACCGCCAGAGCGTGTGATTGAGGAATGAATGCCCGTGCTTGATTTAGTATTTTTGATTGTTGCCATTACAGATTTTTAATTACAAGTTTTTATCAGCTATCACAGAGATTTATTGTAGGATGGATCAGCAAATCTTGAAAGGGGATCAAATTTAAACATTGATTCTCTTTCCCGCGTTGGGTTGATCTTTTGTGAAAGATCAACCGAGTGTTAGTGACAAAATTTACCTCCTCACTATACACCATATTTAAAATTAGTGTTTCCAATTGGTTTATTCCAAACCCATCGAAATGCGTTACGGCGTCGTTATGTCTGGCACTGACAAAAACAAGTACGCAGTTCCCTCTCGCACGCATACAGCCGCCCGCAAACTGTAGGCGCTATTAACGTTCCATTAGAGCCCTTTCACACCGGCGACTCTGCAGCGCTTCTCAGTGGCGATGTTGAGAAGCACGTTTTGAAGGTATATTGATTTACATGGAGCTATTCACACGGGCGCAACCAAGGCCCGACCACCGATTTAGCAGCGCTTCTGTGGCGTTCACTGGTTGACAACCGCCGAGAAGCGCTTCAAAAAGAAACGCCACTGATAGCGATACATTCGTACAAATGTTCGTTCACATGCGTTCTCGTGCGCTCACGCGAGCCACATCACTCTGCTTCAGCGTGAGCTTCTCAGGAGTGCCACCGAGAAGCGCTGCAGAGTGGCTGGTACAAGGTTAACGTGCGCTTCTCAGCAGCGCCACTGAAAAGTGCTGCAAAGTCGCTCGTGTGAAAAGGCTCTTAGGCCGGTCGTCTGAATATAATAGTGTGTAGTCTAGGGGCCGTGCTTGTGTATATAACAGTGTGTAGTCTGTGGGCCGCTGTTCTTTGGTGTTGCGTTTCAGTCCAAACTACTTTCGTAAGAAATCATGAAAGAAAGGAGCAAATGATATAATTACGTTTATACTGGAGCTCGTTCCCCAGATTCGCTGATTTCCAAAAGTAAATCATCCATCATCATTGTATAAATGTGCGTGTTAGATACATAACAACATATGACCAATTCGTACGAAAAAAAAAACGTGCAGTGGACGATATCCTCATATGCAAAATCTGACGAAAGCGATCCAAAAGACGTCCTACCAAAAGACGAACGGCTTAAGGCCGGGTCACATCTATCCGATCCGACTCCGATCATACAATCGGACGAAGATCTGAGAGCAAAATGGTACTGGACTTTCAACGCCGTAGTTCACATCT